TGTGAGATGGAAAACCAAAATGCAGCTATATAGGGGCAGGGGGAAGTAGGTTGGAAGCCTGAAACTCAGGTGGTCTATCTTTGTTATAAAGACTTTTAAAAAAGTTATTTTGGTTATGTGTATGAGTTTGTGTATGTGGTTCTTCAGTTCTTAAAATAAGACTCTGTAAAGTTTGGATATCTGCTTTGTGAGTGCCCAGAAATGAATCTTAGGACCTTCACTGCCACCAGGAACTATCATTCTGGGGAGGGAGATTGGATAGATGCAATAGATTGGCTCACTTTACATCAGGGTTTCTCAATCCTGCTCCATTGACATTTTGGGCTGGATAATTTTTGGGTGTGAGGTTTTTCCTGTGTATTGTAGGATATTTAGTGGTATTTCTGGCCTCTACCTACTGGATGTGGATATCAACTCCACTCTTGCTGTGATAAGCAAGAATGTCTCCAGACATTGCCAAATATCTTTTACAGACAAAATTATCCTTGTTTGAGAGCCACTCCTTTACTCCAGCAACTTTGTATTCTTAAATCTTCTGGGACTCTGGAAGCAGGCAAGTTAATAACCACCATTCTTCCAATTCCCTTGTAATTAGGATTCTGCATGTGACAACTTCTGAAGTCTCTTTTGGGTGAGACTTAGAACATGGAAGTGAACATCATAAGGCGTCTCTTCTGACAGCACTATCATGGGGGTATTGGTTTTTTTTCTAGAAAAATAATGGTGAAAGTTTAGTCTTTGGCTTCACAAGTTTTGAGCACAGTGGCAGCAGCATGATATTTGCTAATACAACTCTACGGGATAACTGGACATTTCTCTTTGTTGTATTACTTCTCACCATATAGCATCCAAATTTATTTCCTGGGCCTTTAAAATGAAATCTTGCTGATTAAACTAGCTAGAGATGATTCTGTTATCTGAAATACAGGCATTTTTATCAGGTGTGGACAGAGAACCTCACAATCTGAATTGTAACTTTGGTTCCATGAAGAAAGTAGGGAGAAAGATACTAAGAGTTTAGATTTTTCAGACTGGAAAGCTGGCGAACCTAGTTATATTATATCAAACAATCCTTATATGCCAGAACCCATGCTGGCTAAGCCTGTAACATTAGCCAAAATCTTAGGACAAATTCAAAATGTTAGCATGTAGCATGTACAGATTGCTGCTTTCAGCAAAGTCCTACCAGATACATATCATGACCCAATTACATTCCAAAAGTCCCCAATTAGTCTGGGCGTGGGGCTCACGCCTATTATCCCAGTACTTTGGGAAGCCAAGGTGAGAAAATTGCCTGAGTCCCCGGTTTGAGACCAGTCTGGGCAACTTGGTGAGACCTCATCTCTACAATAAGTCAAAAAATTAACCAGGCATGGTGGCATGTGTCTGTAGTTCCAGCTACTTGGAAGGCTGAGGCAGAAGGATCACCTGAACCCAGCAGGTCAAGGCTGTGGTGGCCATGAGAGTGCCACTGCACTCCAGCCTAGGTGAAAGAGTCAAAAAAAATTAAAAAATAATAAATAAATAAATAGCATCACCTTAGGGGTTATGTTCCAGCATATGAGTTTTGGGGGGACACTAACATTCAAACCATAGCAGTTATTTTTATCAAAGTAGACCACATATATTGGCCAATTAGAATTGACTACTCTCATATAAGAATTTGAACTACAAACTATATTTTTGCTTCATTTAAGGAAACCATTTGTTCTAAAAGTGAGACTCCCTTATTTCATGTTTTATTATTGCAAATAACATTTCACTCAACAATCATAACTTACCTATGACATTTTAAAAACATTATCATAGGAATGTTGGGTTCATATAACTTGATTTTTAGCTCATAGATTATGGAATGATAAGAAGTTACATACAATTCTGAGAACTTTCGGTATGACTGATGCATCCTTGTGAATGTTTTTGTAATTCAGACCATTTTTAATTTGCCCCATTCCTCTGCTAATCAAAGTGTTATGACACTTTCTTTAGAGTTTCACTCTTTATGCAATAATGACTTTCATTAGAAAACAGACATTTTCCATCATCATTACTTTTTGGTTTACTAATACAGGGCCTCTTGGTATACGTCTTTTCCAAATAAAAACCCATCATTGTTTTTAGATCTGGAAGGAGTTTATGCCTGGAGGTACCCAGCATGCTGCATGCCCACAGTTAAGTGCAAATATATTCTAAGAGGGAGATCTGAGAAGTTCCTCACTGTGTCACAGACTAAGAATTTAGGCAATCTGTTAATGGTTCTACAGCTACTTAGTGGCAAAGATTTGATATCACGTCTCTTATGACTCAAAAGTTTATGCCCTCTCAAAACTAAAAATTGTTCAAGTCACTGTACCAACATCACCTTCGAATCCAGAAATTTCACTCATTTTATAACATGTATGCAGACGAATCCTAAAGTATAGTCATGTGTAGAAGCAATTGCCAACAATAACGTTATTGGGGAGAGGACAGTAAGTAAAAGAATGTCAAAGATTTTAAGGGTTGGATTATATTTCTGATAGAAGCTATGGAATTTTTTTTTTTTTTTTGGTGGGTGGTGTTTAAAAATACCAGAATGAAGATTCATCTCTTTGGAGTTGATATTGTCTAATATCAGGTAAAGAACTTTCTACGACACTGAGTCATGTTTTGTGATTGCTGGTTCTCTAATCACCTGGTGGGAAAATATTGCAGAAAGTTTAGCTGTTTCATGAAAGCAACTGAATCTGTAAGTGAACTGAAAAATGTGCCCTCCAAGTAGCCCCTGAGATGTTTGTAAAAGAGAGTAAGATACAAAATTTTAATTTGCTTTTTGTCTTTCAACATAAAATTTGTGATAGGTTCATAATAGAAGCTTTATTACCAGACAAGGTATGAACGTAAAGCAAGATTGACTTGTCACTAAGCTAACGAACTTCTGAGTCTGACTTCTTTGAATTCTTTTTTTTTTTTTTTTTTTGAGTTGGAGTCTCACTCTGTCACCCAGACTGGAGTGCAGTGGCCTCTCCCAGCCACCGCAGCCTTGACCTGCTGGGTTCCGGAGATCCTTCCGCCTCAGCCTTCCAAGTAGCTGGAACTACAGGCATGTGCTACCACGCCAGGCTAATTTATTTATTTATTTATTGTAGAGATGAGGGCTCACCAAGTTGCTCAGGCGAGTCTTGAACCCGCGGGATCAGGCAATCCACTCACCTCAGCCTCCCAAAGGCGCGGGATTACAGGCTGAGCCACAGAGCCTGGCTAACTACAGGAGTCACATTCTGAGGCAGGATTTGTCTGCAGGGGAGCTCTCAAGACTCCATCAGTGGAGAAATAAAGAGCTAGGCATGCCAATAAAAGCAAGAAAACATACATACATTTTTCTAAATATATGCTGGATTTATACACTGGATGCTTCATAAGATTTTTTTTCCCCAAATTTTATCTAATTAGCATGGAATTTTTTATACGAAAACATCTTTGAAAGAGTGAGTCATAAAGGCTTTAAGCTGAAATAAGAAACATCAAGACGACTTTTCTCTGGTTTGGGATGACATCCTGAGCTCATGGTTTCTGACTTTTGACCTCCAGAGCTATTTAAAAAAGATAATGAACCTTGCTTCAGCATCTGCAGCAGGTTTTTACTTCACCTCAAACATGAGAAAAGGAAGAAGTTGTGTAAATGCTGCATAAATATTTCCCAGGCTGTTTACTTGATCAGTAATAGGAGTTCTAAGAGGCTACATATGTTTGCTCTATATTATACTATGTGTAGTTGAAAAGATGAATGTTTAAGAGCTGATGTGAGAAAGTTTTAATACTGGTTGACTGAGTTCTTTAAAGTCAGCAACAGCAAGTCATTTATCTTTGTATCTCCAACCACAGCATATTGTCTATTTAAATCAAAGAAAACACAACAACTGTTTGTAACCTTATGTACTCAGATATCTATTGAAATTTGGCCTTGGAAGAAAATCATCAGCCTCTACTCAGAAAGACTCACAAAATCAACTTTTGCCAATGACCACAAATACCACAAGTCTAGATATCTCATTGGTAATCTTAAGTGGTAGTTGAATTTTGTTAGTTTCTGTGATTATAAGCTAATTCTTATAGGTGGCCTTGGAGAAAACAGTCCCACGGCAACCCTGAGCTTTCTGATCGTGAACTTTTTCCATTTCTTTCTTTACTGTTTCTAGTTTACTTCATCGGACAACAACTTCATGAAGAATGTTTAAAAGGGAAGTTTCCTTTAATTGATATTCAAGATCTCTAGCTCAAAACTTTAAAGAAAACATGTAGCTAATATTAACAACAATCTTATTCCATTGATATGTATCTACAGATTAAAGACGGCTGTCCTCTCTTCTGTTGAGGAAGTGCTTCCTGTCACTCATTTTCTCCATAACCTCAGAAAAGTCTTCACTGATTTAATGACAGTAAGCATTCTCATCTTACTGTGACATGAAGTTCAGGGGAAAAAAACCCACTAAACTCTTTTACATAAAAGAAGTTTCAAAAACCAAAATCTTTTACATAAAAGAAGTTTCAAACTATGAAAAGATAGGAGGAGGAATTGTATACTACCGAAGGTACTTTTTACCATGAATTTTCTGACCTTGGTTTGATTAAAATCTCAACCTAAAGATTGCAACAGTATAGATGTCTTTAAAGTTTAATTGTTCATTTCACTGAACGTTGAATGGAGGAAAAACCCCAAGGTGGGGCAAAAGGATGGCAGAACGGAAGAAGTTAAGGGCTGAGCTGCTTTGCAGATCAATGTCTGAAAGCGAACAGTCGACTTGACAGAAGCAAAAACCACAGTACCAAGTTGTCTTTCTGTTCACTTTGTTTTACGACATTATTCAGGCTCTTCTTAATGTCCTTTCCCACCTCCTCTCAGTTCTCTTTTTATTTATTTACGGATGTCACTGGGGTAAGTAAACTGATCTAACTCTAAAGAACTCAGAAGAGGAAGGGAACCCTATTTGCACAGTTTTTTCCCCCGATATGCTCAGGAAATGAAGATATCGTCTGCCATGCTTAGAATTGGGAAATTGTTTTGGTTCCTCTTGCTAATCCCACGTCTGGACATCTGGAGCATCCATGGTAAGGCACCTACTTAGATTATTTCTGGTTTTATTTCTCAGGGGGTCTTGGAGGCAATGTCTTGCCTTGCTGAATTTAGAAGGATGTGATTTTATGCTGAGTGGATAATAGAACATGAAACCCAGCAGTTAGATTTGCCTACCAAAGACATTATAGGGCATAAACCAAATAAATTAGAATGTGGTATTTACCTGCCTAAATCTTAGGCACTGTATTCATAGCTTGGATGATTTTTTTTAAACATGTGCTGATGGTTAAAAAAAGGAGAACTGAGTAGGTATTATTAATAGTTAAGTACAAATTTATCCCTATTACTTGTAAAGATGCCCTGGCTGTCATACTGATAGTAAATAGTTTGTTCTTTTGAAACAGTCCAGAGAGTGCTGTATTGCTCAGTTGGGTATTGGATAACCAGAGTTATACCTGCTCCATGATTACTCTTGAATAATCTTGTCTCTAAAGAAAATCTCTATACTTGCTTCAGTGGGGTGTCTGCTTTGAGAATATGAATGAGAAAATGCTGAGAAATATAGGAGCAGACCATTCTATCATTGCTTTTGTATTGTTGAAAGAGAATGGTTCCTACTTGGTTGTCAAGTGAACATAGAAAACAGGTTGAGTTCTGCAAAAATGATATCTGGCCACCCCTGCAGACTTTATGCTAGCATAAAAGGTAATTTCTTCTTTATCAGGAGGACACTTGTTCCCTTACATTGACACAAGAACCCACACATTATAAAGGGGAAAGGCCTATAAATGGCTAGCAGAAATTTCTGATTTTTCAGCTGGTTCTGGTTTCAAATATTCTGTCTTATTGTCAGTTTGTGTTCTGTGGATTTAAATTAGAAAGTATGATCACTGAGGTCCTATGGATAGCCCACCTTCAATTCCAGAACTTTGTGGTTTGAGATTTGTCTCTATGACGTCAGAATGCCACACAACCAGGTGCAAGGTAAAACTCACCTTAGTCATTCAAAAATTTTTATGTAGTATTAAGTCGACTAGATGCTTACATGGTTGACTGAATTTTTCACCTTCCATTAGGTGCCTACAGTCACATAGTCACAGCTGGAGTCAAATATTATTTAAACATAATTCATCCCAAGTTGAAAGATACATAAACTTCTCTTTGTGAAATTAAGAAGAAAGATTTTCAGTGTTATACCACATTGTGGATGGGGTGTGACTTCTTTCTCACCTCCCAACTTGAGGTAGCTTAGTGCTTGCAAAAGTGAATGCGGTTGTTAGAAATGGGTTAATTTACTGATTCTGCCACTTACTGTGTGATCTTGCTTAAGTCTTTTATCTCCTCTTGTCTTAGTCTCCTCATTTGTAAAATAGAGACAATAATTGTACCTAAATTATGGGTCTATCATGAAAACTATAAGTGTGATGATATGGGCAAATTGCTTACCATAGTAAGTAGATATAATAAAAGCTCAGTGAATATTAATGATATTTTTGCTAATATTATTTTCACAAACCAACCCCCACGAAATTCAATTAAATGAGAAGTAAATTTTTACTTTATTAAAGCCATATAGTTTTTAAAGTTAAAATAAAATAAGTAAACTATATTGTGCCATATGAGGGGCACCTTAAAGTACTCTCATAAAAGCCAGAATTTATTTATTAAAAACTGTGTATTTATTCTTACATGTTTGAACTTCCGTCACCTTCAAAGTATTCTGTCTGATTCTATATACCTATCAAGACTTTTCCACTGCTCAGAATGGTTTTTGAACTCGTCAATTTTGATGTCTTTTAGTGCTTCTGCCTTTTTGTTTGTTTGTTTGTTTCACCGCTTCCACATTGGCAAAACATTGAGAACTTCTTTCATCTGGGGAAACAAAAAAAAGTCATCCAAGGTGAGATTGGAGAGAGGGTGGGACATGGGGATCATGTTGTTTTGGATAAAAAAATGGCTGAACACTCAGCAGGGTGTGGGTAGGTTGTTCTTGTAAATCACCCATCAAGAAATGGGCAAATGAATGGAAAGAATCTCCAAAAAAAAAAAAAAATGTACTGAAGCCAAACTCAGCCTCTCACAACAACATTAGCTAGTACACTGATTACTAGAACACTTACCTAGCAGGGGAAACCTGTACTACAAGGGACCCTCCTTACAAAAAAACATTGTTTATTTTGGAGGAGGTCCCACCTCAAATGTTTAGCCATAAATATAGTGAATAAACTTATTTGAAAAATAAAATGAAAAGAGTTTGGACAAAGTACTGGCCAGGTAGCTAATATAGCAGTTGATATAATGGAGTGAAGCATTAATTGTGTTAAGGATACAGGTTGAGATAGGAACATTTGATGAGATTTGTTCTACCAGACAGAGTTGATGGCTCCATTTCTTAAAACCACATTTATTATAACCCTTATATCTTGGGGATTTCTTATGATTTACTTAACCACTGAGTTGTTTTTTTTTTTACAGTAACACATTTTCAAACTGTTTAAAATCTTTTCAAATCTTTGAAGATTTTTCTCCCCACATCAAAGCAATGTGAGATCCATGTGCTTTGTCCTAGGAGTGAGATTGCATCGATAAGATTGGAAAAAATGTAATGTTCTCTACAAACATCCTGTTTAAGTTCGTTTATAACAAAATATGCTTGTTTGCCTCTTGTGTTTCTCAAAAAAAAAAAAAAATTAAAGGGAAATCAGTGTCTGGCATACAATTGCAGTCCTGATGAAAGTAATAAAAGTGTCAACAGCTTCTCTTCAGGGGCAGGTCATTCTGGCAAGAACTAGGCTGCAGGTGGAAGTGTCTCTGTCCATTGTCCTGTCACCCTGGGCCATTTGTCTGAGGCCCTGGGTCACTAGTTCAGTTGAGGATCAGTTGAAGATTCCATCTTCAGGTAGGCAGGAGCATTGCAGTTAATGTATGGATATCTCTTGACATTACTGTATACGAAGGGATCCCCTCAAAACTGGAATTTGTTTATAACAAATTACATATTTATTTTTACATGTTTAAACTTCAGTCACCTTAAAGTACTCTCCATTTAAATACACCTATTGAGACGTGTTTTCCATTGCTCAAAACAGTTTTTGAGCTCATCAATTTTGATGCCTTTTAAGGCTTCTGTCATTTTTTGTTTCTCCTCGTTCACATCAGTAAAACGTTTCCCTTCGAGGATTTTTTTTCATACAGGGAAACAAAAAAATGTCACTCGGGGTGAGACCAGGTGAATAGGGAGGGTCATGTCGTTTTTGGTCAAAAACTGCTGAACATTCAACTTGGTGTGGGCCGATGTGCTCGTAAGTCACACTTCATGAAATGGACTAACACACTGAAAGAATCTAAAAAAAAAAAATTCAATGAAGCTGAATGCAGCCTCTTACAACAATTCTAGCTGGTACACTGATGCTGATGGGTTCCTAAAATGCTTATCTAATGGGGGAAGCCTGTACTATAAAGGGCTTGTCCTCTAAAAAATAATTCCATTTTGGAGGGTTAGGGGTCCCCCTTCATATGGTCTAGAATAAAGACAGTAGGTAATTTTTCATCACTCATTCTTTGATTAAAAAAAAGAACAGTCTTAATCTGGTCCATAGGACACTTGTAGTCGGGCTCTTTCAAGAACACAGCGGTTAGGGTCATGTATTCATTTGGGTCTTACCTATGTCCTCTCGCTCCTTTATTGTGGTGGTTCAGTCTGGTTCATGGATCAGCCTTTAAACACTATACTATATATCCCACACAGACTGTGTTGCTCTGCCACAAGCTGGCCATATCCTTGGGTCCAAACAGACACACTAGGACAGATGGTGCTGTGTGTCTATCACTCCATGAAGTTCAGGTTTTGTAGCACTGTATCTTTATCAGGCTTATTTCTATGACTCACAACAACTTGTTCTTGTTGACATGTGCACATGGTGGCATGGTAGAGATAAAGGTCTGTCTTTTGCCAAATTCCTGTGCATTATTGTTACAAAAATGCCTGCCACATAATTACATAAGTGTTTAGGAATGTATTCTGGAGCTACAGGATTTCTGGGATTAAGCCATGAAAAAAAATTAATCTCTGTGCTGACATTACAGTCTTGAGTAGATTTCTCTATCACTGATAAGTTCTTTAATTTATTGCTGCTTCCTCTGTCCCACTATCAAAATTTTCTCTGTTGTAATGTTGAAGTCAAAAGCTATTTATCTCGCCTCACTGGAATTTTCCTACTTAATTTCTATTTTTAGTGAGTTCCACCTTTACTTAGAGTTCAGATTGTTGAAAGAAAAATGTTCACAGGCATTTGCAATCAGATCTCGAAAATGAAATCAACATTTTGCTTTGTTTTGTAGAGAAGAAGTGTGGTACAGTGGCTAAGATTAGGGACGCTAGACCCAGAGTGCCTGGACTAATATCCCATGTCTGCCATGTAATGGTGCTGTGATGACTATAAGGTCTCTGACTGTCATCTAAATAAAGGGAAAATCATAGTATTGACCTTATAAGGTTGTTGTATTAAGTGCATTAGTTCTGTAAAACACTTAGAACATAGCCTGGGAGACCCTTGAGTACTGTGCAAGTTTAACTAATACTTTTTGTTCCTTTTCGTCCAAAATTGGATTCGCTTAATAGTTCTCTTAAAGTAGCATTGAGAGACAATCTTTCATTTCAGGTGGACTAAAGTCTTCTATAAATAACTCTTGATGTTATTATTGACTATCATCTGTAGTCACCAAGAAATGATAATATTGTTTGAGAATTATGTAACTTGAGTTACATTGTGTCAGTGAATTGTGTCATATGCCATTTGCCTCACTTTTCTAATATTCTCAATTTCCTTATCTCAAAATAAGCTCAATGTCACCCACCTTTCTGGTGTACTCTCATGGTTGTGGACCCTGATTTTATGTTTATCTCTATGGAAGAAGTACTGTGTGCACATGCCTGTGGGTATGCATGCAGGGGTGTTCTTTTTAGTATGCTCAGAATCTAAACATGTACAATTTGAGATTCATTTTGAAAAGAGACCAGGAAAGTGTGAGC